AAGAAAAGCGTACAAGAGCATGAGTTCTCGTGTACTCTCGTGAGGAAATTATTAATAACACCTATTTTATATCTAAGAGGGCATTCACTAGAGAAATTAAGATGGCAAGAGTCTTTACTAGTTGCTTTTTTTATAAACAGAAGTTTCAAAAGAATTACTACTAAAATCGACGGGAACAACTAAGAAAGGGATTCTATTCATCCCTGCTCTGCCTTCTTGGCCTTGAGCTTCTGCTAGATATTGAGAGATTATTGATAAAATCCAAAGAACACTCAGCAATATTATTAGTCCTGATCTGGCATCACCGGCGCAAAGATGCCAACCTGTACCTTTTCTATAAATATTCATGGAAAATATTCAGATAAGCTCTAAGTCAAGGTGCCTAGACTTTATGAATTTAAGTGCAGTATATTATAATATAGTATATATATATAAGATCACCATTCATCCATGCTTCGAATAGTGCTGTCTATATGGTCTCAGGCTGCTGCTAGATATTTAGAGATCATTGATAAAATCCAAAGAATAATCGGCAATATTATTAGTCCTGACCTGGCTCCTGGGCTTCAGTCACTTTCCCACCGGCGTAAAGTGGCCTCCCTGTGCCTTTTCCTGCAAATACTTTCATGGCAATTGTTCTCATGAAGTTTCCGTTATGGTGTTGTTAGTTTTATTCCCTCGACAGAGAAACTGTACATACGTGGATTTCAAAGAGACTCTGAAGGATTTTGGTGGCTGTAGTAAGAATGGTAAGTAAGAATGTTTTGTTGTCGTACAAGGAATAATTTAGTTAGGGTTAGGGTTAGGCTATGTCTTAATACAAAGAAGGAATGGAAGAGAAAGAAAGGAAGACATGAATGGATAAGAAAGAAAGAAAGAAAGAAAGAAAGAAAGAAAGAAAGAAAAAATAAAGGAAAAGGAAGAAATGGAAGAAATGAAATAATGTGATGAATAGAAGAAAAAAAAGGAATTGAAGAAAAGGAAAAAAAAGCAGACAAGAAATGAACTGAAGAAAAGAAGGAAATGAAAAAAGGAAGAAAATGAAGAAAAAAAGGATATTAAGAAAAAGAACAAAATGTAAAAAGGAATGAAAGAGACTCTGAAGTATTTTGGTGGCTGTAGTAAGAGTGGTAATAATGTTATGTTGTCGAGCAAGGAATATTGTAGTTTGTTTGGGTCAGTTCGGTCAGTGTTTGTGGTTAGCTAAGTTTAATTATAAGATAAATTGGAGACCTGTCAGCCATTTTGACCTTGTGCCATATTTTTCTATGATAAAAACAAAATAAATATTACTTTCCGTCATGGTAACTAGACTCTATGAATTTAAGGGCAATACGAGATTGGCGACAAGGTCTCATTAATTTACTGTTTTGTTGGCAAGATGTAACCGTAAGTTCTATGCTAACAGCGTCTTTTGTCGCCCTTCTCGCTTGTGGAACTCCCTTCCGGCTTCATCTTTTCCAGTAAACTTTGACCCCCCCACCAAATTTAAATAAATTCGATTTAAAAAATTATAAACACTCCCCAAATCTACATATAGACCCAAGTATAATAAAGAACTGGTTTTATAAACCAAATTAAATAACACCCAGGATGTTGACGTGTCGTAAATTTCACCAACCCTATGGTGTTGTCAGTTTGGTTTTCTTGTGACAGACTACATTTGCTCTGAATAAAGCATTATGCGTGAATATCCGTTTCTCTGCAGCATCACGATCTTTAAATTTCTTCACGGTTATGCGAATTTGTTATATTTTGTCTAATTGAAGCAGTTCAAAGATGGCAGCCAGTTGCTTTTGCTTATTCAAATGCAGTGTTTTTTTTTTTCTTTTCTGATCTGTTCGGGTTTGTTTCTCATTTTTCTTATTTATTCTAAATTTATTCATTCATTTATTTGTTCCATGACGGACTCATCTCTCTGCAAAAAAAAAAAAAAAAAAAGGACCAAATAGATTGGGGTCACCGCTAGTGTAAGGGTTCGGGACATTCATTCCTGTTGGAAACATTGATAAGAATGAACATTAACTTTCTGGGTTTGTATTGACATCAGGGATGGTAGCTTAGTGTACCACGAGGTACACAATGAATTCAAATCTGATGCGATTCAATTGTAATAATTGAAGAGGCTGACCACGGCTATGTGGGAAAACGCCCACTTGTTTTTCCATTGGTGATTTTCATACAGTTTCATTTAAGTTGGCACAAGTGTACACATTTGGAGCATTTATTTAAAACTGAACTCACAAATGCTATTCTTCAACGAGGCTTTTTCTTCTTTTACTTGCTGCGTCCCTACAGAAGGTCATGGCTCTCCACAGTTTCCTTTCTCATTTTTTTCTTCTTTTACGTGCTGTGTCCCTTCCTGTCTCGTATGGCTCTTAACATTTCCCCCCGTTTGCTAAGGTCCCCCTCCCCGGTTTGTCCAGCCATTCACACAAGCTCTTCCTGAAAGCGGTTCGCGGCCCTCCGCTATCTCTCTTGCCCTCAATATACCTTGTGAGTGTTAAGTTTTCCAAACTATCCTCCCTCCTTATGTTTCCAAGGATTTTTAACTTCTCCTTTCCTGATTTTGAGTATAAGAACCATTTCTGTTCCCATTTTATTTAACACTTCCTTGTTACTTACGCGCACCGTCCATGGAATTTTCAGTATCCTTCTGTAGAACCACGTTTACGCTGCCTCTAGTTTGTTTGCAACTGCGCTATGGTTAACACTTTTATTATATTCATACAGCATAGCTTACTCTGACACAAGGTCACAGTTTTGGAGCACCTAATAAGGAATAAAGTAAAGACAGTATTCATATTAATAATTAGAGAGACATTTTTTTATGTGCCGTGAAAGTTATGGACGTGGGCGATTATAACTCTCCACATCTTCCTCTCCATGTTTATATTGCTATCGATTCCATACTCTTTTCTGCCATTTCTGCTACACATTACTTCAGTCCAACCCTCGTTTTCAGTGTGAAATTTTCCAAATATTCTTTTCTCATTATGTGTCTTGGAATTTTAATTGAGTTTCTGATTCTGAGTAAAAAGGTACTCATTATTTTCCATTATCCTTAAAACTTCCTCGTTGCTTACATGCTCTTCCATGTTAATTATCAGCATCCTTCTGTAGGACCAAATCTCTCTCGCCTCAAGTTTCCTCTTCATCAGTGAGGAAATCTTTCAATAGTAAATGCAATATAGAAAACCTAATATTGCATAGACGTTCAACCCCATTTTCGTTGTTTCTTACGAAATTTTCCTGTTTCTTAATATCTTGTTTTGCTCTTAGAAGATAGCTGAAGGAAGCAATGAAATTCAGTGGGAGGCTAAGTCCAGAGATTGTCCAGGATAACGCACCCGTCCACCCTGTTCAGGTTGAAGTACCTGAAGCAGCTAACTGTGGCTTTGAATTGCTACCTCATCCCCCTTACGCACCAGACATAGCTCCATCTGACTTCTTCCCGTTTCTTAAACTCAATTCCAGCCCGTGCGTTCACCATTTTGTAAACAATGATGAGATCATATGTGTTGTGGAGGGATTCTTGAAGGCCCAGAGCTCTATCTTCTCCGTGCTGGGATTGGATCGTTGGACTAAATGCATAGATGCTAAATGGGTAAAATATTAAAAAATAGTTAAAAATTGTTTTGTTGCCCCAACTCCTTTTGGGTGAAGCTTAACATTTTTTGAATAACCCTACTTAAAACGGAAACCCGAACGTATGGATTTAGCTATCTACTGAACCGTAAGATGTCTGTCATCAAAAAAATATACTGTGAATGGCATCAAAGTGGTTGAGGTTTTTGGACGACCTGACCGAGAGTCAAATTCTGTGCTGTCCCTAACCCGCTTGAATTCTGAGGTCCACTTCTTCACAGTTACATAGGAAGGGGAGTCCTCAGAAAGGGTCTGTAACATATTTTCAGGGATTTCCTTGAGTGTCATACCTTTCTTTTTCTCCGTCCGGGGTAAGATGTTAAACTACACTCGCGTCCTGGGCAAGACGATAAACTAGGTCCAGCAACAGGGCCTCTGATCAGGAGGTTTTGAGGAGCGTGGAACCACCTCTTAATTGCTGGTGTTCCCAGGTCCACGCTGACCCGGGGTGGTAGCACCTGTTAGGGTTCCAGCTATGGGCAAATTGTTAATTATTACCAGCAATACAATTTTGAAGGAAAAATATTACCAGAAACTGATTTTTGAAAAAAACAAAACATAACCAGCAATAAAAAATGTTGTCGGTATTAAATAACCCATTAAGGTTTCGGGGAGCCGTGTTCGAATCACGGGTTTATAACCGAGGGAAAATAATTAATCCAAATCTCCTCCCGCCAACTATGGGTAAATATTAGGACGGACTGGCTGGCAACTTGTCTAGGAGAAGGAAAACACTCAATTCAAAACCATGTTAAGGAATGGATCGTTTGCATTGATTAAATGATAGCGGCTACAGTCGACACCTAACAAACTGGGTTCTATAGCCTTGGGTGGCAACCGAACAAGAAGAAAAATAGGTTGTTTCTTTATAATATTGAATGTAAGGGGTTGAGGCAAACATCTATCTATCTATCTATCTATCTATCTATCTGGAACATCATGATCAGACTGATAGATAGATCTATCTATATGGATCTATCTATCTATAATAGACATTCATTTGATACATAGATAGATAAGGAACACACTCCAGCTAGATAGATAGATAGATAGATAGATAGATAGATAGATAGATAGATGATATGATATGATATAAGATAGATATGGATATGGATATGCTGAGAAGATAGATAGATATAGATAGATACATAGATAGATCTCTCTGCCTAGAAGAACGTAATGTATAGATAGATATGGATATGCTTATCAGTTGATAGAATAGATAGATATGGATGATGTTTATTATCTATCTATCTATCTATCTATCTATCTATCTATGCTGATAATCTCAGACATTCATTTGTCTCTCTCCTCTATCTCTCTCTATCTATTCTATCTATCTAGTGAACGTAATGTATCCTCATCTCATCTACATCTTTATCTATCTATCTATCTATCTATCTCAGTCTTTCATTATCTATCTATCTATCTATCTATCTATCTATCTATCTTTTTTCATCTATCTATCTATCTCTATTTTCATATTTATATCTATATATTGTAGACTGTTATCTATCTATCTATCTATCTATCTATCTATCTATCTATCTATCTATCTATCTATCTATCTATCTCAGTGTGTTCCTTTATCTATCTATCTATCTATCTATCTATCTTCTCATCATATCCATCTATCTATCTTCTCATATCCATCTATCTATCTATCTATCTATCTATCTATCTATCTATCTCTATCTATCTATCTCAGTCTGATCATGTCTATCTGTTCCGGCAATGTTGAAATTTGCCTACTCGCTGTAAAACTTCTTTATGAGCATTTAGTCGAGCGTTTAGTCCCTCAGCCTTCTTACTATGAGATCCAGGTTCGAATTTTAAAATGGTGTATTTAAATAGAAAACTTTTTGATAATATCAACCTCAAGAGAATATACCGTTGGAAAGGGCGTGGAAACTTTAACACGCCTTCTGAATGAAATTGTGTAAATAATGGTATCCGTGAATGATTGTGAGGTTTCAAGTGGACAGTATTTCTTCAGCTACAGATTAAAATTGTGTTTGAGCAGGAATACGCAACAGGGACATTTTTGCCACGGGTAGAGACAGGCATACTCGGAGAGAAGCGGCAATTATTATTATTATTATTAGCAACATGGCCCGGCGTTACCCGTGCTTGATTAAAAAATCATACGACTCATACAGTAATCGCTATCACTTGAATTAAAATATTTTTGCCCTTCTTTGCCTTTAAAGGAGTGCCCTTTGCCGTGCTGATGTTGCTACATGCCTTACTTCGTGGCTATCTCACACTGCGAATTTTTTCTAAGCTCTATACTAAACATTAAATCTGTTACGAAAAAAGTACTAAACAAAATGAACACAAAACGACCAGCTTTAAAAAAGGACTCGTAACTGGAAAAACCGAATGAAAAAAGAATGTTAACAACAAATACTTTTTCACACTTAACCCAGTTCTGCGGAATCAAAATCAACGTTGAGTTTAAGCAAGCGAATGAGCCGATTGGAGTAAAGTGCCATGCAGATTTAAATTTTTTCCACTTGTGCCGAATGCAGCTATCGATTTTTTTTTGCATGATAGCATGCTAGTTAACATTCGTGTCAGTCAGCTGTTGGCTCTCACGTTGGCCAATAGAATCTTCCTGCCTATTCGTGGCAGCCAGCTATAGGCTCTCACTCTGGCCAGTAGAAAATGGCCACAAACTACATGAAAACTGCCGTAGAAGCATGAAAAAATCGATTATTTCCACTATCGATGGGAGTTGGGAAATGCAAAGTCGGTCTTGGCCTTCCTACTAACTTGGAGCATGTGCATGTAAATTTTGGTGCAAATCCGTCGAAAATTGCGGCCGTGCATTCGTTACACACACACACACACACACACACACACACACACACACACACACACACACACACACACACATCCTGCCTTTTATAGATAGAGATTATTATTATTTGCTGGATCCTCATATTGCAAATCTGAGGAATCACGTCTTGTATTTGAGAGTCGTGTGTATTTGTTGGCGCTAAATGGCGGTGTCCTTTCGGTTTGAAACCTTTTTCCAGGATCCTAATTACAAATCAATTTTGATAAATAGGGAAGCAGTGAAAGTGGATTCAAATAAATCACTCTTTGTGACCGAGAATCACTTGCCTGGAAACTATTGTTGTAATAATAACATGCATATCCGCTTTGGCTTTGTTGCCAGTTGGCTTGAAATTGAGTTCATGAAACAACAGGACGAAGGATTCTGACAGTGTCATGACTCGAGCTACAGGTCCGTGGACGTGATATGAATTCTGGAAATGACCTCTGGATTACGGAAGCCTATACGTGCTAAAATCCATGCATATTTCAATTTCTCATGACAATGCTGAACAAAGTATTTAAGAAACGGCAGAATTTCGTTAGAAAGCCTGAAAAATTAACTATCCGAAAAAAAGGATTTTTTAATCCGGCAAAATGAATTTTTTTATCCGGCAAAGAAGATTTTTATCCGGCAAAATGAATTTTTTATCCGGCAAAATGAGATTTTTATGCAGGAAAATGAATTTTTTATCCGGCAAATTGAATTTCTTATCCCGCAAAATGAGTTTTTTATCCGGCAAAATGAGATTTGTATCCGGCAAAAGGATTTTTTTCCGGCAAAGAGGAATTTTTATCTGGCAAAATGAGTTTTGTATCCGGCAAAATGAATTTTTTTATCTGCCAAAGAGGAATTTTTACCTGGCAAAATGAAGTTTTTATCTGGCAAAATGAGTTTATATCTCGCAAAAGGTATTTTTTATTAGGTAAAATAAGTTTTGTATCCGGTAAAATGAATTTTTTATCGGGCAAAATGAGATTTCTTAACTGGCAAAATATGATTTTTATCCGGCAAAATGAGTTTTTATCCGGCAAAATGAATTTTTTATCAGGCAAAATGAAATTTTTATTCGGCAAAATGAATTTTTTATCTAGCAAAATTAATTTCTTATCGTGCAAAATGAGTTTTTTCATCCGGCAAAATAAATTTTTATCCAGCAAAGTGAATTTTTTATCCGGCAAAGAAGATTTTTATCCAGTAAAATGAGTTTTTTCTCGGGCAAAATGAAATTTTATCCGGTAAAATGTGTTTTTTATCCAGCAAAATGAATTTTTTTTCCGGCAAAATGTGTTTTTTCTCTGCCAAAATGAATTTTTATCCGGCAAAAAGAAACGTCACATCGTTTAGAAAATAACTGGAAGCGTGATGCCTCTCCAGGATCGATTGGATTGGTTTGGCTTTTTTACGGTATATCAACCTCAATGGGTTATTTAATGCCGACAAGATTTTTATTGCTGGTCATATTTTTTTCCAAAAAATATATATTGCTGCTAATATATCTATATATTGTATTTTTTTTCTAAAAATGTATTGCTGATAATTGTTTTGTTTTCTCAAAAATGTATTGCTGGTAAAAATTTTCGTTCAAAAAAATGTTGCTGGTAATAACTTTTTCCAAAAGTTTATTGTTGGTATTAAAACAAATTTTTACACTCTCATAGTGTTTTGACCCTAGTTTGGTGGGTAACTATTTGCCCATAGTTTGGATCCTAACAGGTCCTACCACCACGGGTTAGGGTGTACCTGGGAACACCAGCAATTAAGAGGTGGTTCAACGCTCCTCAAAGTCTCCTGATCAGAGGCCTTGCTGCTGGACGTAGTTTATCGTCATACCAAGGACGGGAAATACCTAAGAATCGTATCAGCAAGTGGGTTAATCAGATGATTTCTATAGAGCAGTTTTCTTTTCGGGCACTAAAATTAACAATTACAAATTACAGAAATAAATATCATATCATAGGTAAAAAAAAATAACTGCATTTATACTTTAGTCTATAGGTATACATTTGTCGGTTTTAAACTTAAAACTTTAGGGAAACGCTTGTTAGTTTAATATTCAGCAGCAACAACTAAAATGGATTGAACATGGCGTTGACTTTATCTCGTAACCAAGAATTTAATTTCCGCTTTGCTGATCATTTCTTTATGAAAATGGCGTCGATGACTAAATTCGCCACCAACGTGAAGGTTCAGGAATAGAACCTTCCAGTTATATCAAAATCTGCAACCGTCATCCATTTGGGAGAGTTGGTTAGATATAAAAGGAAATTAGATTTGAATAAAGGGCCAATGGCGTGGATTTGTTTAAGGTGGGCCTCAACCTGCATGGGAATTGACCCACACACTTGATTTCATGATCTTCCTCTGCAGCACATATAGAATGAGACAGGCAGAATCCAGTTATGAACCTGCAACAGACTACCGCTGTTATAATTTCGAATGGCGCCTACTATAGCATTTCCTTCATGCGTAGCCCTCTTCATCCGCTGGTTCTATTGTTGAGATCTGTTGTAATCATCATCCGCTTGTTCAACTATTGGGGTCTTTTGATTTGATTGAGCTTAGTCTGAGTCCTCATCTTCGACCTTGCCACCAAGAGTGGCCCTACCGGGAGGTTAGAACTCGTGACGGCATCTCTCTACTCAAAACCTGATCAGAGGCATTACTGTTGGACCACGTTTATCGTCTTATCCAGGACGCCAGCATTGATTGTATTTTCTTTGTTTCTGTTGCTTCAAGTCTCTTCTTCATCTGAGATTACTGGCATATAGGAGGACTGATATTACATAACAGTTCAGTATTCTTTTCTTTGTTTCTCCTGCTTCACACACACACACACACACACACACACACACACACACACACACACACACACACACATATATATATATATATATATATATATATATATATATATATCAATTGACCAACATCGCTTGAAAATAACGAAAATCGGAAACCAAGGAAGCGGAATCAGGAATTTCCTAATTTTCTCTCTCTCTCTCTCTCTCTCTCTCTCTCTATATATATATATATATATATATATATATATATATATCCAGAGAGAGAGAGAGAGGGGATACTTGAGGCAACAGAAACAAGGAAATATGTACTGAACTGTTTTTTCTGGTCTTTCAAATTTCTGCTTCATCAGTGAGGAGATTATCCAGCATTCACTGTCAAAGAGGAGGACTGATATTACGTAATTCCAGTTTTTGGGGGTCCACAGCAGCTCTGGCCTGGTATTGAACACACAACTCTTTGGGTCTTGTCACTAGATCAAACCAACATCCTTATCCACTGGGCCATGGAGAGTTGTGTTAAAGGTAAAATAAATGAGATATCCGGAAGAGGCATGACACGTGGAACTAGAACAATCTACCATGGTGGACGAAATAAAGGCAAATTCCAATGAGCTGAAGATGGCCAGAGCTTACAACGGCCGAAATGTTGTGATTATGTCAGTGAAGATGAAGGTAAATAATGCAAATAATTATAATACCTCATCTCAGAGATAGAGACAGATATATAGAGAGACATAGACATAAAGGCTGGAGCGTACAACGGCCGAAACGTTGTGAATATGGCAATGAAGATGAGGATAACAATCCGAATAATTTAAATAATTAAAATAATCCTAATACGTCTTCTCAGAGATATAGACAGATGTTAAGCTGGAAAAATCTTGAAAATGCAATTATCGTTATTTGCGAAAATGTTAATTTACACCCTGGGATATTTTAAATATTTCCTTTCTTAAAAGAGATCTCATTTCTCAAGCCAACATTCATGGCTATTATGGGACACCCTGTATAAAGTATTATAGCGTTTAGAACAGTGCCAATGTTCTCCCTCTGTTCAAAAT